GAAGTATCTGTGGTGTTGACAGGGTTCAGGGTCTCATCCAGTTCTTTTACAGTGTACAAAAAACACATATCACCTGAATGTGAAAAATCATTATTCTTGTATCTGTTTTGTATCACACTAAAATTTTACATGCATGTAGCTCTTGCTAGGAGCTGGCAAAAGTATATACCAGAGCCCAGAAATTAGGCTACATGGATCGCAGGGAGTCAATAAGGAAATCATTTCTCGATGAGTACAGTGTCATGTTAGCCATCAAAGCAGTTTTAATGTGATAGATTGTCATGGTACTTGGGATGTGAGCTCACAAGAGAGCAGGTGTCACAGGATCACCCAGGGTAGGGATTGTAAGGGCCAGGTGGTGTTCCCCATGGACCCCTTCATGGAAATTTGGAGTTAGCTGCATGCTGACCCCAGGTCACGACCCCTGGGTTCACCCTGCTTGCATGGAGAGTACCTGAACACACAGCAGACAGTGCTGGCAAAGACAGAATGGCAGTAGAACAAAAGGAGATCCAGAAAACAGGCCAAAGGTCAGGGCAGGCAGCAGACAAGTGTATTCAGTAGAACTAAGCCGAGGTTGTACACAAGAGATCAGTCCACAGAAAGTCAGGTCAATGACAAGGCATGAATGGGGCTCAAAAACAGAGCTGGTCTGAGCAGGATTTAAATAGGGAGAGAGCTAGGAGGCGGACAAAAAGTATCTGGGAGGAAGGTATATTAACTATCAGGTGAAGCGGGCAACACCCATAGCTGCTAAAATAGTGCAGAAAGAGGAGAACGCATGCTAGTAGAACCACATTTGCCAGCAGACCCACAGCAGCAAAAAGGTAAAAACAAATGCAAACCAATGAAGCACAGATCAGCTCTGCAGCTGGCCTGTGACATAGATCTTATTGGCTAACTGACTAAAAATTCAAGTTAATTAAGCATATTATGTTTCTTTTCAAGTCATACTCAAACCTGTATTAGTAGTGGGAAAAAACCCCACACATTCCCATAAAAAAAATAGAATGGGGTGGGTAATAGGCTCTGGGCTTACAGTGGATATTTATTTCAATAGACCTAAGAGGTAGTGTTATTTTGCATTTTCATAACTAGCAGGCCACTATAGTGTGTGCCATGGTGACAGTCAGTTTAACCTCTTTGATGGGGATAGTGGGAGGAAAAGTGAGTATTTTTTTAAAATACATTGTGTGTACTGATTGGAAGTAAACGTCATAATAGTTACAAATAATAGAAATTAGTGAAAAGCATGTTTGTGCTTCTTAAAATTCAAAGGGGTCAGAGCTTTATTTGTAAAAATTGAGTAGCAGGTACTTTTGCCAAGGTGCGTTGGATCCTTAGCTACACAGAATACTGACCAATGTTGTTTATAGTTCAAGATTATTCTTGATCATCTTAACCTTTTTCAGTGGTGTGACTTGCCTTAGGTGGCATGTTGTAGTGAACAGCAGGAAGTCAATAATTACTCTGCTGTCCATCTTTCACACTTGAAGTGTGGGAGAAAATATATAGTTGTTTTTTGCCTCCCTTCAGTGTCTACTGATAGATAATCCTCAGAATTTAGAAGAGCAGAAGGCGGTGAGAAGAAATGCTGAGAAGTAAGCTGGAAGCAGTAGTCTCTTTTTTTTCGAACAGAGATGTGAGAATTGCTCATATGTCTTGAATCTAGCATTAATTGTCTAGTCCTGGAGTATACCTATAGAGTACTAGGCATACAGAACATGAACATGAACTGCACAGGAACTGCAACACACCTATTGGCTTCTATTACTGCCTCTATTGTCTGAGATTTGCTGTATAGGGAATTATCCAACACTGATGGCAAGTCATTTTGAGGTACTTACACTAGTTGCTTTAAAAATATAGTTAATGATTTTATTAATTCATAGCTGCATTCAAATTTGTATCTTTTAGTGTTTAGATTTAACTGATTTGGTAACCTAGTTTTTGTAAAGCGGTGGGTTATAGTGACCTTTCACTAAGGAGGTGATGAAGTGAATCTGTTTAACAGATTGACGGAGTCTGACTGTCTTCCGTTCCTTTCTGATGATTATGCATACAAATTCCAAACATGACATTTTCTTACTGGAGAAGAATGAGAACGCACATTTAATGGCTCTCTACAAACCTGAACAAATGGACCAACAGCAGAAATAAGTGGCTTTAACATGCATTAGTCAACATTTGCTTCGACTCATCATGTAATTTTTCTATGTAATAACAATCTACGCCTAAATACAGGACTCCTGAGATTTTTTTCTTTTAGTAATTATTTATGTCCTGAAACCAGTTTTGGAGAATGTTCATCCTAAAACAATTCCTCTGAAAGGGCAAAAACTGAATATGTTTGAATTGTTGTGCAGCACTGGGTTCCAGGGCTCATTTCCTATCAAGGGACCTCTCTGAATTGGGTTTAAATCTCCCTATAACCCCAAAACATACTGGTAAGTTAATCCACCTCAACCAAAACTCTTTAAGGTGACACTAGGAGCTAGGAGTCCAAAAGACCCCTAGTGTCACCTTTCCATTTTAAATGAACTATTGAAGTACAGATCACACTTCAATAGCTTATTGCTCGGCTTCAGTAGCCGAGCAATGACAGCTATGGGACTGGAAGTGATGTAATCCTTATCACTCCGGGTCCCATAGAGTGGGGAGGAGATCAGTGAACGGAATTTCACCGTTCTCCTCCTCAACTTCCCACTGGCAGCAGACAGGCCAGTCCCGGACCCGCAGGAGGGGAAGCGGAGCCCAGAAAACACGGCAGGGGTGTTGGGCGGATGGGGCGGGCACTTTACTGGCCCGTGGAAGCATTTTGGCAGCAGATGAGCTGCCAGAATCACTTCCATTGTAAAGTCAGCAGCCGGCTCTACAAATGTAAACAGAGTCCCTGCAGCTGAAGCCGCAGTGAGTCTGTTTAAACGGGCCCGCTGCCACCAACATACGCCTTACATCGGTGCAGCGAAAGGGTTAAAGATAATGCACTGCAGCTAAGTAGCCTTGAGGTGACTTCATGTGAGCTCTATTGCATTGCAGAAAAACGCAGCATGGCTGCATTCTTCCGCAATACACTGCCACCTACCTTAAAGCGGACCTTTATCCCCTTTCACTAAAAATCACAACAGCATGCTGATATGAAATCATCTTACATTCATTAGTTAAACATATTATATTTTACTTACCATTTATTTTTTCCACTTCCTGGTCCACTTTGGCACACATGATGTAATCGTGCCCAAGCATTGCATCCTGGGAAGGTTACATCAGCAGAGCATTGGTGGGAAATCTCATCTGTAATCTCATGAGATCTCATGGAAAGGCATTTTACTCCTCTGAGATGAAGTGCATGGTCACATGTCCTAGTCACATGTGCCAAAGTTACAGAAAGTGAACGGAGATCTAGTAACCTGTCCTTAGTTTAAATGGCCACTGTCAGAAGAATAAGGGAAGAAAAAAAAAATAAGGTATGCAAAAAAAAAAAAAGCCGGCAATTATCTAAAAGTATCTGTAGATTGTCATTATTAACTCCATAGTGACACAACTTCTGTGGGGACCAGAGCAATTTTGCTGTTTTTGCTATGTGTTGTTTAACCATAATTTCCATCTCCCTCATTCATTGCACCTACACATATTATATACCAGGTTTTAAAGGACAAATTTGGCTTTAATTTATTTATTTGCATTTTTTGTAATAATGCAGCGGTGCTATGATGATGTATACATGTGCACATTTTCATGACTCACATTTTAGGCTTTTCTCATTTTTGACATTGAAGGACACCAGCATATCTTTTCTCCCAATGCTTGTTTGTTGAGTTTATGAAGAACATATACAGATTATTTGCATAGTGGGTCCACAGCTGAACAAATGCCAAGCATGATTGGTCCAATTTTTATATAACTCTAATTTTTATATAACTCTAAACAAATGCAAGCACTCGCAATAACATTGTGCTGTGGTGTTCGGTTTTTATATTTAAAAAAGAATCTGCATTTCTGACACTGGCTAATCACTAAAGTATAAACAATTCAACAAATTAAAAATAAAATGTTTACTCTAGCCAAAAGGTGGAAGACCATCCCCACCAGCCTACTACACGGCCTAAACAATAGGCTGAGAGGCCCCCTGACACCTCAACTTTACTTTATATTGTCTAAACCAACATGAAAAATGAATGGGCCAATTTTGGTAAAATGAACTAAATCTGCCCTGTTAAGACTCCAAATGAGACCCTCTAAATCCACATTACTAACAAAAAACACCCAAGAAGGACATGTATTTCTTGATAGCCCTATTTATCTGTTTTCTGGCATTATTTAAATAACCTGACTTCCCTGAAGGTAACCATAGCATTTTATGGATAATCTCAGAAAAAACAACGTATTATGTATGATCAAGAAAACAATATTAACAGCCACAGCAGTGGAAAAATAATTAAATAGTGTTAGTTACAGTTGCAGATAGGACATTAACTAAATGGGTCTTGGCAGAACAGTGACAAAGTGAGAGAGAGTACGTTCTTCACCCAATTATCAGAAAATATTGCAGCAAGTCTTGGCAGAATGGTGGCCAGTTTGAGAAAGGATAGATATCGCAAAACCAGTTTGAAACCTACGGTAGGTTTGGAATGTTTGTTTTTAGTGATAGGTGTACTTTAACACTTGATGCACATAAGGAACACAAATTATTTAACCCGCTTTACTGAGTTATGATTGCCAAAGTTCTTGCTGTTACCTGAAAGTATTATTCCCATTCCCATTTTGTATGCAGTATGCAAATCATGTATGCATCGCACAACTTTTTAAAACGTTTTTTTTTTTTTAAACATTGACTTTATAGGTCTTGATGACTAATGAAAGTGGACTATTTTTATGCTTTTCAATTTAAAAAATGCATGAAATGCCCATGTGCTTATGTTATTGTAGAGCCTGTGTAATTAATTTTCGGAAATTGTTCCTGAGAGTTTAATCAATATAGAATCTTTTTCTTTTAAAAGGGAACAACAGTACGAATGATAACCGCTATTGATCAAGACAGAGGTCGGCCTAGATCAATTGTCTACACCATAGTTTCTGGTACGTTTCACTGATTAGTGGTAATGTAAACTTAGTATATTTGCTGTTTGTGCTTCAGTTCACTGTACCTAATTATACTAAACAACACTCTTATAGTTTTTCTTTTTTATTTATAATATCAAAAGCTTTAGAGGTAAACTATATGCAATACTTTGATGTTCATTTAATAAATTTGGGCTTGCCCACCAATGACATTTTCTTTACTTCACAACAACACATCTGGACTTAAAATGCAAAAAAAAAAAAAAAGATCTGTCAGATTTTTACTAAATGTTGTGCCTCATCTTGGTAGATTTCCCCTATTCCCTGTGCTAGTGGCAATGGGCATCAATAAAGGAGATCCCTCCAACAGGGACATGCACAGTAGAATGGGGAAGGGATTTTAAATTGATTTAACCTCTGTCAGGTTTTATTTCTTTTTGTGTGCCAGTGATGCCCAGGATCCAGGATATAAAGTATGGGGGATTGTCTCAACAGAGACTAAGGGGTTGATTTACTAACCTTATAAACACACCACAAACATGTATACACCTCTGTATTGTGTTCCCTTCCAGCATGATCTATGGGTGGAATCTAAACACCTTTGTAGTGTGTACACACCCAGCAGGTGTGTTGTGCAAAGCCCTGCATGAATTGCAAGGTGATGTTGTGTAAATAAGCTCTATGTTGTGTTGCTTGCGTTGATGAATGCAGCAATGTAAATGCATGACCTAACCATTTTTGTCTAAACTGTGAAGCAGCATTATATATGCATCATGTGCATGATTTTTCCATGTATGGCATTAGTGGAAATATGCTTTTAGATACTTTTTGGTTGATAAACACGTTTTGCTGTGTGAAAATCACATGCACCTGGTGCGTGCGTGTGTTTAGGTTAGTAAATCACCCCCTTAGTCTTCTTTAACCACTTGAAATCCGCTGTGTTAAACTCCCTTCCCATCCAGGCCATTTTTCAGTATTCAGCGCTGCAGTACTTTGACTGACATTTATTCCGTCATGCAACGCTGTACTGAAATACATTTTATACCATTTGTTGGGGACAGATAGAGCTTTCTTTTGGTGGTACTTAATCACCACTGCTGTTTTTATGTTTTACTATGTTAAGGAAAAATGACTGAAATAAAAAAAAAACTGTTTCCCCTATATTAAATTTATTACCCAATTTTTTGGTAAAATATGAAAGGGGTCATGTTGGGTAAAAAGACACCAAACATGTCAAGCCTTAAAATTGCGTGCACGCGCAAAACCTCAAAAAAATGGCAATACCCAAAATTGGCCATAGGCAATGCTTTAAAAGCTTTTACCGCTCATCAGTTTAGTGTTATCAGTGATTGATGGCCCTAAAATGATTGCTCTCACTGCGACGTTCACGGCGATATGTAACATGTGTAGCGCAATTGTCGTTTTCGCGTGCTGGTGCACCGGACGCGTATTTACGTTTATATGTGCGTAAACATGGGGGTGGGGGACTTAAACATTTTGGGTTTTTTTTTACTTTTTTATATGTGACTTCTGTTCTTTTTACTTTTTTTATTTATATATATTTTTTGCACTCATTGTTATTGCTATTACATAGGGGGATAACAATCCCCCTATATAATAGCACAGGTTCACTGACAGGTCCTCTTTTTGGGGTCCCTAGGACCCCTAATGTCACCTGGGGACCCCAAAAGAAGCTGATGAAGCACAGATCATCAGCTTCTTTTCTCTGGCTATAGCAGCCAGATGACTGACAGGTGAATGCGGAAGTGATGTAATGCACATCACTTCTGCATTCACAGCCCGGAGGGAGATCAGCAAGGAGCTGACCCCCTCCCTTTTCCTCCTGACGCCCTCCCGAGCCGGGCCCGGGCCGCAGATGGGCTAGCGGATCCCGGGATTGAAGGCGAGGGGTTAGGAGGGAGGGTGGCGGCAGCAGACGAGGGGGGCACACACCAGCACATATACCCGATCGGCTGGCTATAGAGCCGCCGATCAGGTATATGTTAAACAGGCGGTAACGGCTCTATGCATTGCACAGGTTTTTTCTGCCCATAAGCGCGCAAGGGGGCACGCGCGAGCAGAAAAAAAATGTCGTCTGGAGACGGCAACCCGCTAATGCAGCAGTGCCATCCGGTTTTTTTCAGAGGACGGCAACTGGTTAACTTTCCATTCTATCCCAAAAAGCTATTGTCTTGCTTAAATCAATGATCACTGAAAAAGGTTTGCTTTCATCCTTATTTGCTAATGATGGTGTTTTTAGGCAAAGTTTAAATTTTCTACTCAACTTTTATCTGCCTAAAATCAAGCCCAAATTGTGTCAACAAGCAAAACCTACTCGCATATGGCCAGTTTGAAAGTGTCTGTTTTTCCTATTAACAACCAAACCGTATGGGCAACACAAAGCTTTTACATATTTTTTTAAATTATTAATAAATCTGGAAGATTGTGAAGCTGAATCATGCCAGCCAGTGAGTCAACTAAAGATGTAAATGATCAATTTAGCAAGCTGCCTTCAGTATATGTAATAAACGCTCATATTTTCTTTTGAAGGGGAGACATGTGGCTTTTTTTTGTTAGCGTTCTTTACAAAAATACAATATTTTAATATTTAAGAAACAAATCACAAAAATACATCTGTATTGTTTTCTATTGTTATAATTCTAACCATAGACCAAACCTTATGATCCAGTTTTAACTAATGTCTGAGGAAGGAACCTAAAGAAGGTCCCGATGCTTGCATCTATAATGATTGAATTTGACCAATGAAGGTATCACTTAAAGTATTAATGGGCGTTTTTTACCTCAAAGCATTCTCTGCATTAAGGTAAAAAACATCCAGTACCTTTTAGACTCCCCGTTCCCCCCTCCACACTTACCCGTTAGCGATGCTTGTCACTGCTGCCAGTCCACACAGCTTCCTGTTTCTGGGGGAGGATACCAAGGGCAGAGGAGACATATGCTATTTCTGCCATCAGACAAACTGCTGGGTGGGGAGAAGGGGCCTGGCCTGCTACAGGGCTGTGTGTGTCTGTGAATGCACACAGCCACTGCGGGCATGGCTGTGAAAGAGCATGCATTGGTGCCTCTACAGCAGCCACTTAGTTGATGGAGGCATCCGTGCGGGGGGAGAGGAAGCACTGCGGGGATCCACTAGAAAATGAGGATCAAAAGGATTTAAAAAAAAAATTCTATATAAATGCAGTCTCCTAGTAAAAAAAATAGTAAAAAAAAGGTTTAATATCACATTAAACTGGCAACTTTTCATTATAATTAAAGTAATCTGCATTAGGGCAAAAAACACCCACTACTTTTCTAAAAAACATACCTGTGGCCATTTGTATCCTTTGCGGTGACCAGGAAGATGCTCGGTGTTCCCAGAACTTCCTGGTTGTGGGGGAGGGTAGTGAGGGCAGGGGAGCCATAGGCAACTTCTGCAGTTAGTCAAACTGTGACTGCAAGAGTTGAGGTGTGGCTGGCCCCACGCTGTGTGTGTGTCTATGGATGCACAAAGCTAGAGGTAGGCACAGCCGTGAGCGTGCACGCACAGGTGCCTCCACAGCAGCTGGCTAGCTGATGGAGCCACCCGTATGGGGGGGTGTGGCTAGCAGTTTGTATACCACTAGAGAACGAGGAAAAAAAATTAAGAATAAAAAAAGGTTTTTAAAGTAAGTCTGGTCCCCATAAAGAAAAAAGTTTAAAAAATCCAAAGGTTTCATATCGTTTTAATGGCTAAAACAATACAAGATTCTACTATTGCCTCTGCTACAGTATATGCAAGACTCAGCTTCAGTCTTTCTAAATCATTCAACAATGGTTCTGTAACAGATTGCAGTTTAATTATATAAACACATACTATATGTATTATGTAAATACTTATTCTTATGTTCTTTATGTATGCATATTATGTTAAGAAAACATTGTACTGCAACAGTTTCTTCTAAAAGGGAAAAAAGGCAATTTTCTGAGAGCATGCATTTAATTATTATAATGTTTTCTTTTACTTGAAAGTTACATTTTTTATTTAAACAGGAAGTAAATCAAACATATTTGCTGGACCAGTGCTAGGCAACATTATCTATCTGTAATAGCAATACAATGGAAATGTGGTTATCTATTTTGCGAGATTTATGATGGCTATTCATTGATGTCCAAATGTGAACTCTGCCCATTAACTGTAGGGTCTCACGGGGAAGAGTCTTAAGGCTGATGGAGTGTCACTGGGTACACTGGCAATGCTAAGGGGTGTCTAAGCTCACAAAAAGTGAGTTGAATGAAGCTGGGTGTGAGTTAACCCACAAGAGGAGTGGCATCTAGTGGGTGCACAGACTTTCTGCAAGGGACAGCACCAGTAAAACATGATATTGCAGTAAAAGCTGCCTTTTTTTAATTTTTTGTGGCATGTATTTATTTTATTTATTTATTTTAAGTGGCGGTGGGTTTTAAGTAGTTATAAGCACATCAGCCCAGGTTTACTTCACTGGGAGTGTGTCAAATCTGAACTTTTTTTTAGAAATGCTGAACAGCAGTGAAAGGATCCTTTTCATGTTGGTTTGAGGTCAACGTGGAAAAAGCACAAATTTAGACTGTACATACATACAGCAGCAGCAGCAGCACCCCATTCTGATCGATTTCAGCTGAACAGGGCAGATTTAAGAAGGGAGAAAAAGCATAAGTGTTGTATGCTTGATAGGCAGTGAGATTAATACAATATGAAGTGGTTTAAGTGCACACTGTTCTTTTTCCCTTTAAACAATGCAGCAACATGCTACGAACAAATGAAAAATGGTCAGTAACAAGTGAATGCTAAGGTTTGAGCACCCCAAACTTAAAATATCAACATAAAATAGAAAAATATACACTTCCACCCCCCCCAAAAAAAAGTGAAAACCCAAATTACCAACCACTCCAATACTTTTTTTTTAAAGGAAAGCCGTGCAGCTAAAAATGCTAAAAGTGACTGTTGTCTTCAAATCAACTGTAAACTAAAATGAAAGAAAAAAGCTCCATTCAATACTTTA